GCAACTAATTTTGTTTGTCTGATTATTTGTTGGTGGAATGAAGCCACATTTTATGTTTTAAAATGAAAATCAATTTATTCTATCTTGTCCTACAAACAAAGTGAAGGCTATACAATGAGTAAAAATGTAAATATATGCGAGACATTATATGCAAAAAATATAATAAGCAATAATAAAATTAATAAAATATTTAAATCATAACAATTATAATATATGAAAAAAATATAATGGAATTATAACAAAATAAATATTCCAGTATAAGAGACCCAACTAATTCATAAGTCACTAATTCATCAACTGTCAGTGTTGATTATTTATTGATTAGTAGCTGCAGCCATAATTAATTTACTTAATTTAATTAATGTTTTTTTTTCCCTCAGTAGTAACACTGTACTATTGAAAAGTTTGGTCAGATTTCATTTTTTAATAAATTGATACTTTTAATACATTAAAATATAATGTACTACGGTTTTCACAAAAATATGAAGCAGCAAATGTTTTCAACATTGATAATAATGAGCAAATCAGCATATTATAATATTTTTCTATAGAATGATTTCTGAAGGATCATGTGACTGAAGACTGGAGTAATGATGCTGAAAATTCAGCTTTGATCACAGGAATAAATTACATTTGAACACTATTTGAAATTGTAATAATATTTCACAATATTACTGTTTTTACTGTATTTTTGATCAAATAAATGCTGCCTTGGTGAGCAGAAAACTTTTTACCAACCCCAAACTTTTGAACGGTTGTATAACTAGTTAGAAATTATGGCTACCATGGGACATTTCTGTGTGTAGGCCCTAATGCATAATTTATACAAATAAAGCATTATAAAAAATACTTGCCAGCTCACAGCGGTGTTGATTAGATAGGATCATTTAACACAATCATATCTGTTGAAGTTTATCGTTGTCATACCATCATTGACACACACACACACACACACTTACACACACACACACACACACACACACACACACACACACTCACTCACACACACGTCATCTGTTTCAAAGGTTGAGTGACTCGTAGCACAGAGTGAATATTTAACGTAAAGATAACAGAAGATAGCGCTGTGTCCCACTAACACATGTACGAAGATCCCTCACCCGTTCAAAACCAGACACATATACTTTCGGTTTAATTTCCATTATGACAATTACTCATCAAACTATTTTATGGGGCCTAGCAAAATACAAGCAAAGTTTTAGCATTAGCTCTGTTAGCAAGAAAAGCGTTTTGCTTGGTGTTATTTTTAATGCAAGGGAACAACATAACTGACGTCGCCACAGGGATAAACACATCTGGGACAGAAATAGGGCCAAGGGAGCACGTCTGATGTGGGCCGATCCTGAGAGGCTCTGTCAGTGCTGTCAGGAGACAGACAGAGACGATTCTGGGAGGTCAGCGCTGTGTTTGGGGCTCCGGGTCTGGCAGTGTGTTTGTCCCGGCTCTCAGGGATATTATTTCAGCTTTCTCCTCTCAGGTGGCCCCTTTTGTTATGTCCCCGTGGTTCCTATCTTACAGTCCATGAAAGAGTAATGAGAGATGTTTCCCTCAGAGAACACGCGCTGCGCAAAACTATCTGGGTGTAATTTCATTTTCTAGTCCCTCTGGACCTTTACCACAAGACAAGGTGAAAAATATTGTTCATTTGGGGACCTGGATCTATGGGTAGTCTTTTATAATAAGAACATTAGGTTAGGCTACGATACTGTTAGAGTATAGAGTATATATATATATATATATATTGTTCAGAGAACATTCAGAAGTAACTTTTTTTATAACTTAATGGGAGCATTAGCAAAACGTTCTTAGAACATATTTTTGTTGGCTCCGTATGTTAATGTTTGTAGACAGGAACAGAAGATTTGACTGTAGAGAAATACGTCATGAAAGATTACAAGGAGGAAGAGAAGGATCAGCTTTCCTGTTAGTGTCTTAGTGTAATTCCCCTGGTTTTATTTAGCTCTCTCTACTTCCTCTACACTGTAAAAAATGATTGTGATTTTAACAGTAAAAGACTGTAAAAATGCTACAGTAAAAACCTGTTAATTGGTTAACAGTAAGTTTCCATAATATGTTCGGTGAATAAATGTAATTACATTTAACGCAATTTACGTAATTAACGTAAAAATACGGTTTTTGGAAGTGAAAAAGAAAAAGTAATTGTATAATTTACAGT